GTGATTGAAATTTCATGGATAATATGCAGAAGTCAGTGTTTGGCTCTCAAAAGAAATTTCAATTGTTGTACTGTTGATATTTGGCTCTGTTGACTAATGAGTTTGCTGACCACTGTTCTAGCCTAATTTGAAAGTCTGTGTTATCTTCCTTCTATAGGTTATATAGACAGTTGTAAAAAAAAAAAAAAAGCACAGAAGCAAACCCTGGCTTCCTCTAAATGTTGGGAAAAATTACCTTCAACCACTTTATCCTCAATAAAAGAATTACTCTTTGTTTCTCAGAATCCAGAAATTCCTAAAATAAATCTCATGTTTCAAGTGAAACCCTTTTTTTCTCAGTTTGCAGCCCCATGTACCCTCTGTGTCCACTCTTTAAAGTGGCTGCCACTGTTTTATTTCCATCCTCCCATTGTCAGCAATTCCTCCTCAGGCAGTTTTTCCAGGGACTGCAATCATGCACCAAGACCCCTCCACATCTTGCTCAAGGAGTACAATGTAATCAAATGGGATGAGTTCAACAAATGATCACAGCAATTACCAGGAAATTTACAGCTGCATTATGTACTTGTGCAGCCAATAGCCAACAGAATCCTCTGTATTTACTAACATAACTGTGGCTGATTCTCAGATAATCAGTAAATTATGATCACATAATGGTCTAGAGTCCTTCATAAAACGCCTTTATATTATTCCCTGTCTGATGTCAGACATAAGTTAAACTGGTTTTCTAAAAGAACAAGAAGAATATAATGAAAGAAAATTAAATAAAAAGCCCCCAAGACTATGGGCACAGAAAACTAGTCAAAATTTTGCTTACATTCAAATATCCTACTGCAGCTCACTAATAGTTCTCCTGCCGAATTAAACATATTGTCTCTCCTCCCACTTCTAATGGGAAATATGCCTTAGATCTCTGCTCATCTGAATTAGAAAACTATACATATTTTTTAAAAGTTATAAAATCTATTAAGTTTTTCTTCCTTTAATGGTTCCAGGAGGAAGGCAACAGATTTCTAACCCTGATATCAACATTGCTTAGAAACCTCCCTGCCCTAAATCACAAGACCTAAGGGGCAGGTAAAAGAGTTCCACTATGATGTGCTTCTGATGGACAATAAGCCCCACTAAGATTATTGCAAAATGGTGCCAAGTCCCAGACAAACTTCTGTTCCTTTCTACACTGAATCTGAAATAGTCAATTGTTAACCATGTTCCCATTTACTCCTGCTTGCTTAAATTATGTCTTCTCCACAAAATGCCAGGATTTTATAGGAGAGATGCCATGTTTTTGTTGTTGCAGCATGTTTTCTTCACCCCATCTCCTATGTCTATACAATGCCCTTATAAAATAAAGCACTCAATGGTTACAGAAAACCAGAGAAGAACCAAGCAACACTTAGAGAGATGGAGTTACATTTATTACGCTCGGGTCCAGCGGAAAATGTCTCTCAAATTCTGGGCCCCAACCTGGAGGAACTTTCCCTATTTATATGATTTTACCTTCTTTGTCTCCCAAATATGGGGTATTTCCGGCCCCCTTTGCAAGTTCTTAAAGAACCCCTATGTGCTGGCTTCTTGAGACCTCAACCAAAGGCCTGGCCTGATGTCAGTACTGATAATTTCATCTGGGGAAGGTTTAATAACCTCTCTGAAGTGGGAGAAGTCTTATTTTCCTTATTATTTAAACAAGCAAGCATTTACAGAAGTGAAATAGCATGGTTAAAATTTTAAAGAGCAGTTTTTATATAAGATGAATGCTTCACAATCAGTATTGATCAATTCAATTAATGAACTAATACCTGAACAAATCATTGCCCCAGGCAATTCTGTCAATAAAACATTCTGTGATCATGGAAATGTTCACACAATGTTCATCTGAGAGGGTAACTACTGGCAACATGTGGTGACTATTAAACACTTGAAATGTGCCTAGTTTAAGTGAGGAACTGAATTTTTTATTTTATCTCACTTTAATTTAAATTTAATTAGCCACATATGACTAATGACTGCCTTATTGGTTAAGGCAATTCTAGATACTAGGGATATAATCTTGACTAGAGAACAATTTCTGCCTCAAGGAGCTCACTATCTAGAAAAACAACTTCAAAAATCATTGCATGTCTTCATAAAAGAGAATGCATGTGAGCTGCTTATGCAGGATAAAATATAAAATGTAACCTATAGTGAGGATTCAATATAGCACCTAATACACACACTAAATGGTATGTCCAAGGGCTGAAGATAGTGTTTTCTATTTAACTTTTAATAACTTACATGTATCTGTATAAAAACAGACTGGTTTTGAGGATTTAAAGACAGCATAAAAAAAGCACTTAGAATATAATAAGAGCTTCTATATATATAATCTATAATCATTATTTAAAAAACAAGTATTGTTCTACCACTGAAGTTCATGTTGCTCATTATTAAAATAAAAAAATTAACCATAATTTATTTTTTACTGCCTAATATTTATTTTGGGGATTGGTTTTAGTTGTCATTTTTGCTAGTACAAAAGTATTCATTTCTTTAAGTCTTCTATTCCACATAAGAACACTTGCTATATCAGAAAAATGCCTTGGATCCTTCAGGAAAATAACAACTTAAGTAAAAAGGTTGTTGTTAATGTTATCAATTATATCAGATCAAAGAAAGAATGTTTTTGTTCATTATGTGGCATTTACCGACGTAGCTAGTTTGAGCAGAAAGAAAGAAGTCAGTGCACATGATCAAGAATCTGCAGCATTAAGTAATCTTCAAAAGCTGTGGCCTAGAGTGCAAGAAACAAACAACATAGGCATGTTCCTTTGATTTCATTTTTAATGTCTTTAGTCTATAAGAGAAAAGGTTAAATAGCTCCATCTAGAGATACTTGTGATAGATCTTTGAGATACACAGCCCAAGAAATTATCTCAGGTGCCAAGTCCCAGACAAACTTCTGTTCCTTCCTCCGAAGGGGCCCATAAACAAATCAATCCAGAACCTTAGGTTGTATTTATAGCATATCTGGGAGAAATTACTATAAACCAGGCATTAGAAACTTTTTAAATGTTATATTACTAAAATAGGAAGTTAAATGAGTATAGCTCTAATAAAAACAATCACTCCCAACAACAGAGAATTAAATATTAATAAATAGATCATTACAGTGGCTCTCAAATAAGGTTAGTAGCACATACAGATAGAACCAGTAGAACCATGTCAAATTTGTTATCAAAGCAAATCAAATTGCAAGACTGAAGGATCACCTTCATGCTGAACACTATACTGTGTGCTAAGGATAAAATGGTGGGCAGAAACACATTCTCTGACTTCGGGGGGCTTACGCTTTAATGGAGAATAATACATTCATCAAATAATATAAAATTGAAAAAATCACAAGGTGAGAAGAGCTATTAATAATAGTTAAATGATATAAGAAGTAAAACAAGAAGTTCCTTAAGACTTTCTTGAGGAAATGGCATTGGAGTTCAGATATAAATATTGAGTGGGAACAAGGTGAATAAGGGAAGGATGAACATTGCATAATGAGGAAGAGAGTGCAAAAGGATTGTCACAAAAGAGATATTAAAATTTCAAGAAAGAGGAAGTGGACACTGGTGCATGGGGTGGGAAATGTGAGAGAGTAGAGGGAGTTGTTCTCATTTTCTGGGTGCGCTCTAGAAAGAATCATGGTCTCTGTGGTGTTTTGTTTCCATTTTTCTCTAACATTTACAGATATATAATGTCTATATTTTATATAGCTTTGGTTTCTTTACTGGAATGAGCAAAAATGACTGAATCTACAGACATGACACTGGGAAAAACTCTAGGAATACGTAGTAACTAAGTGATAGGTAAGGACTGCAAGGATTTAACTGCCTAGAAAGTATCATGCTTTTTGACCAACAAGACTGAAAAAAAGCTGACTCCTTAAAAGGGAGAAATTACAGAGCACAGGGAACTTTGGAGGGTATGGGTATATTCATTATCGTGATTGTGGTGATAGTTTCACAGGGATATATATGCCCAAAATAAGTCTTAGAATGAAACTAATTTTTCAACCACAATCTTACTTTTAAGACATTTATGCCAATATATAAATGAGAAACTATATAAAGTAACATGAGAAAAATGCAAATGATGATCAACATATACACTGAGTGACCAGATTATTATGATCTCTGAACACATAATAATCTGGCCACTCAGTATATATGTGTATGTATATGTATATATATGTGTGTGTGTGTGTGTGTGTGTGTGTGTGTGTGTGTGTGTTAGAGGGCTGGTGCATGAATTCGTGCATGGGTGGGGTCTGGCCAGCCTGGCCAGGTGGAGGGAATATCGGCGGTTGGCCAGCCTGCCTGCTGGTAGAACTCCTGGTTGAGGGAACAATTTGCATATTAGCCTTTTATTATATAGGATATTCACTGTCTGGCCAGATTATTATGTGTGCAGAGATCATAATAATCTGGCCACTCAGTGTATAAAGAATATAATCTCACAAGTAATAAGGAAAAATACATATTAAAATCAGAAGCCATTTTCACTCATTATATTGGCAAAACACATATATAGGTAACCCTCATTATCAAAGCCAAGTCAATTTTTTGGGAAAAAGTGGAGAAAAATAAATATTCAGATATCCAGAGGCTATATTTCATTATTCTAGGCAGAAACTAATAATAATGTGTTCAGAGAACATACAAAACCTCCACAATTTCCCCAAATATCACTAAATCACTCAAACACTATGTATTATTTGCACAACATGTATATATATTATAATAAGTAAAAGGCTTAAATATAAATAACCTAATTATTTATTATTTAATCATTAGCAGATAAATTTATATGTAGTATTCTAAAATACTGGTTATAAGATACTCTTTCTTTCTCATTGCAACAAAAGTATACTATAATATAACTAAATAATATACCATATTGTATTTGGAGTTGTCAGTGAAGGTTAGATTCATATGCTTTGGAAACAATACAGTAAGAAAATTAATATTCTCATGCCTTAAACTTATGACTAAGGAAAATAACAATTTGGGGTGAAGCCTGAATCCTCACTGCTAATGTGAGACAAATTTTTGAGTGAGTAAAGGTAACCCCTAAGGTGACCCACTACTTTGTGGGGGAAAAAGAAAGAAAATCAATATTCTTGAATAGAATTTAAGAGCCAAAACAAAAATTCATCAGTTTGGATTTTAATGGCATTATAGTATATTGCTATTTCAGGAATTTTTCTTTTAATACAAAGAAAATAAGAAATAAATTCCTTTGTTTAATATAAAGCAAACAATTACTTTTCATTGTCATTTCCATATGTGTTTTTCAGATTTTCTTAAACAGGAAATAAACACACAAAAACTTATAAATAGAGTTTAAAGAAACTATTTTTGGACTCCAATTACAAACAAAAAGTAAGGCAAGTTTGCAAGGCCATTAATCATTGTAGAGTACTCAGCTATTATGTATAAGTCCAGGGAATCTATAGGAAGAACAATTACCAGCACATTTATTGGTAAAATACATATCTACCCTTCAGAAATGCATTATTCTTGGTATAGGCGTAGGGTCCCTCAGCACACAGTGTTAAGTAGAAATTTCTAGAGTACATTTTTTTCTCAAGGTTACCTTAACCCAAAAGATTAACTGAAGTAAACAATAATGTCAACATTTTACACAGAAGGTTTTTTTCTCTTCTCAGGTATGATCAGTTAGGCTGGGAAAATCTAATGCATCACTAGCTCATAGAACTTTCTGATGAAAATATTCTATATTGCTTGGCCTAATATGGCAGCAACTAATTACATGTAGCTATTGAGTTCTTAAAATGTGGTTAAAAAGACTTTTACATTTTATTTAACTTAACCTGTCAGAATGGCTGTCATCAATAAATCAATAAACAATAAGTATTGGCAATGATACAGAGAAAAGACAACTCTGGTGCACTGTTTTTGGAAATATATATATGTGCAGCCATTATAAAAGCAGTATGGAAGATTCTCAAAATATTAAAAATAGAACTGCCTGATGGCCCAGAAATTCTACTCCTGAGTGTATATCCAAAGAAAACAATAACTCTAATTCAAAAAATATATGCACCCCAGTGTTCACTATAGCATTATTTATGATAGCCAAGACATGGAAGCAACTCAAGAGCCCAGATAAGTGGACAAAAAAGTTGTGGTACATATATATAATGGAATGTTACTCAGCCATACAAAAAAAATGAAATTTTACCATTTGTGACAATATGAATAGGCTTAGAGTCTATTATGTTAAATTAGATAAATCAGACAGACAGATAAAGAGAAATACACTATGATTATACTTACATTGAACCTAAAGAGCAAAATAAACTAACAAATAAAACAGAAATAGACTCATAGATCTAGAAAATGAACTGATGGTTGCCAGATTGTGGAGGAGGGGGGGTTTCATGAAAAAGGTGAAAAGATTAAGAAGTACAAATTATCAGTTATAAACATAGTAATGGAATGTAAAGTACCGGATAGAGAATATACTCAATAATATTGTAATAACTATTTAGGCTGCCAATTGGATTCTTGAATTATCAGGGGGAATCTATAATAATAAAAGTATAATATGCTAATTAGACTGGACTTCCAATGACCCTCCGGATGATGCCAGGGCTGTGAGGGAAGCCCTGATCCTGGGTGCCAGAGGGAAGCTGGTGCTGGCAGCAGGGGTAAAGAAGGCCTACTCTTCCATGAATTTCATACATTGGTCCTCTAGTTACTTTATAAATTACATATAACTGCCTAACTACTATGCTGCAGATGAAGCTAATAAAATAATATTGAATGTCGACTGTAATTGAAAAATAAAATTAAAGATAAAATAAATAAGTAGTCACATGCCACTGGCAGCTACCATACTGGTCAGCATAGGTCCAATGGTTGGAACTTATAGCCTAAGTCAGTGGTCGGCAAACTCATTAGTCAACAGAGCCAAATATCAATAGTTGAACAATCGAAATTTCTTTTGAGAGCCAAAGTTTTTAAACTTAAACTTTTTCTAATTCCACTTCTTCAAAATAGACTTGCCCAGGCCATAGTATTTTGTGGAAGAGCCACACTCAAGGGGCCAAAGAGCTACATGCGGTTTGCGAGCCTCAGTTTGCCAACCATGGGAAGTATAACAAGTCTTAAACTAATATAGACCTCTTACCATTTCTATGCAATCTGTCTATCCCACCTTCATGGACAGTAGCTACCCTCTGTCTAAGAAAGTATCTAAATGGTAAAAAAAAAAAAAAAAAAAAAAAAAAAAAAAAAAAAAAAAAAAAAAAAAAGGACAAACCAGTGTTTGGTTCATGGTGACTTATCTACTTTCAATGTAAGTAAAACAAAGACAAAAGTTTAATAAATTTATGGCAGATATTTTACTGGCAAAAGCACGATTATAGTAGTTATTAGAGATGACATTAACTTCATATCTTGCATCCAGAATTTGAGTAACGAGAAAGCCCTTTTCTGGCTGTATTTGGTTCCCCTTCCCATAGTCTAGATATATCCATTAAAGAGCACCAACAAGAAAGAAAGCTTATTAAAGTAGATTATTAATTTTCAGACTCATTATGCCAATAGCTATTTTTCTTGGTTACATCTCAATGAAATAGGTGGGACAATTCTAGAAATGAGGAAGAACAAAAGCTACAGGGAAAAATAAATGTGGGAGCTGCAGCAATCTTGTGGCAGGACACAGCTGATACAACAACCTCTTTCAGGCTAATGACAAATCGCATCAAGTGAGGTTGAAGGGCTGCATAATGATATGTAGCAGGTCACATGCAAAAAAAAAAAAAGACAGTGTGTTTCCAATTTTTATTGAGATTCTGATTTTAAAGAACAATTCTGTATTTTTAACAAGTCCCCCAAATAATTCTGATACCAGCAGTCCTTATTCACAGTTTGAGAGACAGAGTCTTTTATAAAGAATTCAGAAATTTATGGCTTTACAGGCAGCCTGTGACAAGTCTAGAGACATACTGATATGTGTATTTTTACTAATATGTGTAGTAGATCTTTTTTAAATATATATTTTCATGATTTTAGAGAGGAAGGGGGAGGGAGAGAGAGACAGAAACAGCAATGATGAGAAAGAATCATTGATCCATTGCCTCCTGCAAGATTTGAGATTGAGCCTGCAACAGAAACATATGCCCTGACCAGGAATCAAACTGTGATCTCCTGGTTCACAGGTGAACTCTCAACCCCTGAGCCACTGTGGCTGGGCTGTATTAGACATTTTTAGTAGTATCTCCAGATGATGGCTATGCAAAGCAAAGTTTGAAATCTTCTAGTAGATGGAGATTTAAGGAATGATAAGCAGCTTGGAGGCTCAGAAAGCCCTCATACACATGTTGGAAGACAAAGGTAAAGGTTTCATAACTTGTTCAATAGCTGAATGCCCAAATTTCTAATCATCACAGCACAGGCTAAAAATAACATATACCCAACATCTTTAAGTAACTATGAATAGTTTTATCTTTTCAATAAAATCATGGTATATATCCTTACTAGGAAATATGGTGGCTAATTTTATGTGTTAACTTGACGAGGCCACAGGGCCTTTCAGCCATCAGTAAGCCCCCCCCAGTTCTTATGTCAGCTACTAATACCATTCTGATTGAAATCCCAGGTTTCTGGCTCCAAGAAGTCATGTGTTTTCATTATGAACCTGGAAAAGAAGGAATCCTACACAATTGGGGGGAATACTTCCATTTCTAGGAGTCTCCGCTGGGCCCAGAACAGGGCACGGAATATGAATGATAGGCCTGTTTTAACTCAAGGGCTATAAGTTTAGCCTAGAAAAGAATCTTTCCAGTGGCACAAGGAGAAATCAGAATAGTTGTTCTGCCTTTGCTCAGTCACTAGGTAGGGGGGAAATATCTTCCCTGAAGACTCAGAAGCAGAATATTACCCTTTATTAGTTCAGGATTTAATCACACACCCTTTTCATGTGTTAGAGAACTAAAAGCAGACACTTAATATTAAACAGTAATCCTGAAAATTAAAGTCTTAGGGAAAAGGTAGTCTGAGCTCATGACACCAAGTCTCAGTTTGGGTATCACTGGCAAAGATTCTGAGATAAATGTCTGAGTGGAGAGGGGAGTGAGTAGGGAAGGCAGGAAAAGGAAGGCAGTCATTACAGGCTGCATTATCAAGTGAGTTTCTCCTGAGGCTGAGTAGATCTTATTCCCATTGGGGAAAACTGGGGACTAACATGAAACACATCAAATGTCTCTCAGGGGAGCTATGACAACTCCTGTCAGACATTTGTTGAGGTAGGGAGCAGTAAATTGCCCATGTTTCTGGCTTGCTGAGCACATGTAAGAGTGAGTAGTCAGAGAGGATTCTCATGTAGATATAGACACTGGCTGATTAAAATAGGCCCTACATATACAGAAATAGTAAGGCAGATAGAATATTGGCAGGGCACCAAAATCTGCAATAATCCTGAAGGGACTGACAGAGTTACACATGAAACTTTGCTAGAAAAGCACATCCCAAATTCCAAATTAGGCTGCACAGATTACCAGGATTAGGATACATCAACCATGAGACCCCAATACAAAATTAGCAAACAAGTCAGGATGACTTGAGTAAACATAAAAGTAAATAGCAGGCCCTGGCTCGGTGCCTCAGTTGGTTTAAGTATTGTTTCAAACACCAAAAGGTTGGGGGTTCAATTCCCCGCCAGGGTACATACCTAGGTTGCAGTTTAGGTCCTCAGTCAGGGTGCCTATGGGAGGCAACCAATTGATGTTTCTCTCTTATCTCTCTCTCTCTCTCTCTCTCTCTCTCTCTCTCTCCCTTCCTCCCTTTACCCTCATCCCCTTCCTTTCTCTAAATGCAATGAAAACATATCCTTGGGTGAGGATTAAAAATTAAAATAAATGACAGAATTTGACTCCTAAGAATATCAGGTGATAAAATGTAGAATATATACATATATACTTAAAAATAATAAATATATAAGAGGTGGATCAGAAACATGAGAAAACAAAAACAGAGAGAATTGAGGAAAATTAATAACGATTGGAATGAAAAATTCAGTGGATCATTTGAACATCAGATTAGATTAAACTAGAGAGATAATTAATAAACTAAAAGACAGAGCTAAAGAAGTT